TTTAAAAAATTGAGCCTCTAGAGCCAGAAACATGGGTTCCCACTCTGGCCCCACCACTTACAACCGTGCGCATAAACCTTGGTCATACTAATTAACTTTTCTGTATTTCACTCTCCTTACCTGTATAGTAAGGAAAACAAAACGCTCACTCAGAGGGGTTGTCACCAAGTTTAAACTCAGTAATAAAGGGAGCAGTGTCTCTCCTGTAGCGATCACGCCAAATACTAGTTGTATTGTTTTGCAAAATTCTGCTCATCCTGTAATGATATTTCCTCTTTGGGAAAGCTTCCTGAAATCCCTGGAATTAATTGTGCCTTCCTTTTCTTCTCTCCTTTTCTGCTTTTACATATTGTCGTGCGGCGTTTTTGCCCGCGGTAGAGCTTTTGTGACACAGCGTTGTGGTTGGCTCACGGTTGGCAGGGGCCGCCTCTCCTGTCCCGCGCTCAGAGTTCACCTTGGTCCACTCGGGGAACGCCATTCCCGCTGAGACCTGCTCCGCGCAGTCCTTGAACTTGGCGTGCGGGAGCCCGTCTGCCTCCGGTGAGCTCACTGTGGACACCCTGGCTCTTCAGGTGGAGCCGTCTCCGTCTCCGGCCTCAGAGGGGTGGCTTCAGTACTCAGCAGGGCGCAGTGCAACTTCGGTGAATGAATGTCCATTTGAATAGTTAAAGCAAAGGTCTGAAATTGTGGTCCTCAGTCTCCCCAACTCCCCCCCGCCCCCACACACCTTCTGTGACAAATCCATCAGTTCTAGAGTTTAAAATAGCCCCAAGTGATTTTGATAGAAACTCACCCCCTCAATTTGAAAACCGTCGACTGAAATAGAAAAACGCAGTTTTTGGAGTTGAAGAAAAAGACATACAGGATAAGAAGAAATGTATTCCGTTGATAAATTGTTACTAGAGGACAAGAAAAAAAAAGTTGTCTTTCTTGTTCTTTTGTACAATTAACCTTTAGCAACAGTAAATAATCGTTTCAAGAGGTACACCCTGACCAAGTGTGAGTCTTGATGCTAGCTTAGTCTTTTATTTTCTCTTATTGTTAGGCATAAATAATGCCACTTTCAAAGGATTGGTAAATCTGAGTAAAACTCTTTACAGAAGGGAACAGCTGAGCCCCTATAGCCTATTGAGTGAGTAAAGCTCCACCTGGGCCTTCTGATTCCTTTAGGGAGCTAAATCAGTCATCAGACATTTATTGAGACTCTGACATGTGCCAGGTACAGCGCTCCGCTCCAAAGACAGGAAGACGGTCAGATAGAACTCCTTTTTCCTCTAGTGAGGAAGTAACTATCGGCATGTACAATTTGCTGTGACAGCAGTCCATCATTATTATCCCTTTCAGTTCTCAGAATCAGTAATGATTTCCCCCTTTTATTCCTGTTACTGGTAATCTGTGCCTTTTCTTTTATTGATTAGTTTTGCTAGAGGAATATCTGGTTTTATTAGTATTTTCAAAAAGCCAACTTTGATTTCGTTTTCCTATTTTTTATATATATATATATATATATATTAATTTTTGCTCTCATTTCCTTTTACTGTCTTTGGGTTTAATTTGCTGTTCCTTTTTTTTTTTTTTCTTTTGGTAGATACATAGAAAATTAGTTTTCAGCTGCTTTTCTTTTCTAATATATGCACTTAAGATTATATATTTCCCTGGATGAGCATGGATTGAGCCACATCCTACAAGTTTGATGTGTCAGATTTTTATAATCATGCCATTTAAAATACTTTCTAATTTCCCCTATATTTTCTTCTTTGACTCACAGGTTATTTAAAAGTGTAATTATTTTCAATAACAATATTTATTCTTAGTTGTACTATGATCAAAGGGCGAATTCTGTGTAGTTTTATTCCTTTGACATTTGTCAAGATTTGCTTAACGGCCCATTATATGGTCAATTTGGATAAGTATTCCATGTGTTTTTTAAAGTACTATGTACGCTGCAGTTGCTGGGTGCATATGTGAATTGAGTCAAGTTTTTAAACATACAGTCTCCTATATCTGCAATTTTTATTTGCTTGTTTTGTCGTTTACTATGTTGATCTCCCGCTAAGACTGTTTGTCATTTTAATTATGTCAGTTTCTACTTTATGTATTTTGAAACCGTTACTGCTTGGATAAAAAATTAGGATTGTGATATGTTCATGGTAGAGCACCTCTTTTAACATTATGAAATGTCCCTCTTTTATCCTTGGTGATACTTCTTTGAAGTCTCTTTTGTCTGATTTGATAGCTGTGTGAACTTTTTTGGTTAGAATATGTACAGTACAGTTCTTTCCATTCTTTTTCTTTCAACTTTTCTCTGTCCTTATATTTGATGTGTGTCTCTTGTAAGTACACTGTATGTTTTCATTTGGCTTATTTAGTCTCTTGATTTGTAAGTAATTCTCGAGACTTTGAGGATTATATCTGAATCTTACTGTTTTCTATTTGACTCACCTATTATGTACTCCTTTTTGTTCTGAAGTTTTTTTGGTTAATCACATTTTTAAATAGAATTCCATATTTTTAACTCCTCTATTACCTTTTTATCACTTTTAAATTATTCTTTCAGTGGTTGGTTTATTATGACATGAATTCATAATTTATATCAATAATAATTTAATGCTTTAGCATGGCCTGGGTAGTATAAGGACCTTAGAACTCTGAATTCATTTATCCCTTCTGCTTTTTTGTTATGCATTTTAATTCTGTATTTTAAACACCACGAGATACTCCTGTAATTGTTTTGTAAAGTCCGTATCCTTATGGAACTCTTCATTCTTTCCTGCAGTTTCTTGCTTTTCCTTTGTGCTTGAGAATTCCTCCTGGAAGCCAGTTATTTCAGATTTTGTTTGTTATAAAGCATTTTTATTTCACAGTCATTTTTGAATGATTTTTTCCCACTAAGTATAGCGTTCTGAGTTACCAGCTATTTATTGCATTTGGCATGCTAAAGATATCATTTTACTATCATTTTGTTTTCACTGTTACTGTTGAAATGTCAGCTGTTATTCTTATTGTACTCATTTGAAAGTATTGTGTCTTTTTAAAGATTTTTGTTGTAGGTTTTCAGCAATTATACCATGATATGACACATTAAAACTTGTGTATTTCTTTCTATTTCCCCTTCTTGGGATTTGTAGGGCTTCATGAATCTGTGGCTAGATGTCTGTTGGCAGTTTTGGAAAGTCTTTGGCCAGTAACTTCCAATATACATACATCCTCTCTCACAGTTTTTTTCTCCTCCTTTCCTTTCATCTTGATCTAGTCTAGCATTAAGATTCTAGGCTGTGTTTCTAAACACTGTCCATTTCAGTTTAGCCCTTGCACTAGGGCCTACCTCTTCAAGGGTCTCAACGGGAAACCAGAGTTTCTCCTTCTTGGCCTGCCCTCAACGCTGTTTTTTTTTGGGGGGGGCGGTTCTCCTCAACACCATGAGACTCCTGAAATCTCTGCTTGGTCCTTTAGCTTCTTTCGTCTTGGCTTCTTACAACGTAGCTTTGGCAAATGCCTTGAGAAGAAAAGCAGTGAAGATTGTTCAGCTTATCACTTCATCATTTTTCACATCTTTCCAGATGTGGCCCCTGATGTCCTTCGTACTTTGATTGCTCATTGATACCTTTAAAAAGTTGGACTTTCCCCCCCACCTTGATTTATTCATTTGTATTTTATTCAACTTTTATAGTTGTTTTGGGGAGGAGATTGTTTTGATACCTGCTAGTCAATCTTAGCTGGAGTTGGTGCAAAGTTATCATCTTTAATCTTTTTAACCATTTGTGTTTTTATCTCGTGAAGAGTAACTAGAAGGTTTAAATGAAACAACTTGACTAAAGTATTTGGTACAGTATGTGTTCATGTGCTTCATTCATTTCACGTCAGTAAAAAGCATATTTGAAGAAGCAGGGAGTGAATTTCCTACCTTAATTGCTTAACAGTCCAAAGGCATAGATTTATTTACTGAATAAAGACCCTAAAATGTTGCTACATTTATCTAGTATAAATATAACTAACTACCTTTTCTTTTAGCATGAGATACTTGAGCAAACCAAAAACAGATGTTAAGACTTGTGTTTTTAGTTTTTCCTGTTGCTTTTAATTTTTGTTGATTGAGGTGTGTTTCGAAATAAATATTTTAGAGCCCGTGAGTGACTCTAAATATAAAATATCACAGTATCTGTTGAGAACTTGAACTTTTTTTGCACTAAGGGGTATATTGCTTCTACCTCATAACTCATATAAACAGAATACTTCTTTTTAAATTGCATCTCAGTTTATTCATCTATAAAATTGCAATGATTGTGCTACCTAGTGGAAATTATTATTTAAAGGATTAAATACTGTGCTAGTCTGCTGCCATAACAAAATACCACTGACGGAGTGGCTTAAACAATAGAAATGTATTTCTTACAGTTCTGGAGTCTGTGAAGATGAAGGGTCCAGCCAGGGTGGTTTCTGGTGAGAACTATCTTCCAGGCTTGGAGGCAGCAGCCTTCTCTCTGTGTCTGCAGGTGGCCTTTCCTCATGGGTGCACACTAGGGCAGGGGAGAAATCTCTCCCTTCTTCTTATGAGGCCACTAATCCTCTCAAGTTAGGACCCTACCCTCATGACCACATTAGACCTGAATTACTTCCTTGAAGGCTCCAGGTTCCATCTTCAAATACAGTCACACTGAGGCTTCAATATGAGTTTGGGCTGGGGGGGTGCATAATTCAGTCCATAGCACACTGTAATATATAAAAGCACTTAAAATAGTACCTGGTCCATGGAAATTGTTTAATAAATTGTGATTTTGTGGTAGAGATGATTTTAAACATCTTTTTCCCCTTTTTTCTTTTCCAGGTGCTCACTTTGGATTCCTTTTGGAAACACCAGGAATGGTCATTTCTACTTTTCAGGACCTCGGCACGAAGAAGCTAAGGAGAATCTTATGTAGATAAAGTGAAGCCTCTTTGTCCTTTCACATTTGGGGACATCTGTATTTCTCCCTCCACAAGGAGTTGTGCGCAGCACCATCATGAACGTGACAAGTTTATTTTCCTTCACAAGTCCAGCTGTGAAGAGACTTCTTGGCTGGAAACAGGGTGATGAGGAAGAAAAGTGGGCAGAGAAAGCCGTTGATGCCCTGGTGAAAAAACTGAAGAAAAAGAAGGGTGCCATGGAGGAACTGGAAAAGGCCTTGAGCTGCCCGGGCCAGCCCAGTAACTGCGTCACCATTCCCCGCTCCCTGGACGGCAGGCTGCAGGTCTCCCACCGGAAGGGGCTGCCGCATGTCATCTACTGCCGCGTGTGGCGCTGGCCCGACCTGCAGAGCCACCATGAACTGAAACCCCTGGAATGCTGCGAGTTTCCTTTCGGCTCCAAGCAGAAGGAGGTGTGCATCAACCCCTACCACTATAAGCGCGTAGAAAGCCCTGGTAAGTGAGTCCTTTCCTGTCGATGCGTTTAGCAGATTTGTCTTGTTTCTCGAAATCATCCCTTTCCATGTTTTTTTGTTAGGGGGAAAGTCATGTGTCAGTCCTTGAAAGGGTCATACGTTCTAACAGCACAATCTCTAGTTAACTTTATTTCTTAGGAGCTGCTGCTGCTAAGTCGCTTCAGTTGTGTCCGACTCTGTGCGACCCCATAGACGGCAGCCCACCAGGCTCCGCTGTCCCTGGGATTCTCCAGGCAAGATTCTTAGGAGCAGGGCTGTGAAAACTGTCATGGAGGTATTGATACCTCTACCTTTTCATGAATTTTTTTCTTGCTAAATTTATTCTTTATGTTTCCCTTTGATTCTATGCATGTCTTGAGACAAAGTTAGCTATGATTTTATTGCAAGGGAAGAAAATCAGGAGAAAAGCATGGTGTTGCTATCTACATACTTGAGGGTGGTTGCCAGTGACTTATATCACTTTATCCTTAAAAATAGCACTTTTTATCATCTCCAGTAGAATTTTGGCTATAGCATGCTCCTTGTGGAGGATATGAAGGAATTATGTTCTGCTGTGGAATCATTTGATACTATTACTTTGTACGAGATACTCCTAGTTTTTACATGTGTGACCTTGGAGGGGGTGGAGGAAGCATAATAAAGGATATACTTTTAACACTTACTTGGTTTTGACTTAAATTAGAGTCCACATTCTAGACAGTGGCATCAGTTGGAAAGTGATTAGGCAATCTCAGGCACTTAAATATCTCAGTGTCAGATTGGAATCAAATTTGTTGATGGATTAGTTATTAATAGCTAATGGTTACCAGGGGTTCCCAAATGAGGCTATGCGTTGGATTCATGTGGCTCCCTTCCAGAAATTCTGATTCTGGCAGAGCCCAGTGATCCGTATTTTTTTTTTTTTTTTGGATCCATGTTTAACATGTACTCCAGGTAGTGTTGATGGGGGCTATTGGATTATTGTTTGGGGACTGTGCAGCATCCCGTAATAACCTGGTTGTCAAATAAAAGGCATTCTATTTTCTTATGGTTTCTAAATATGGTTTCTAATATTTATGACATTTAAAAGGGAATAATAAACATCTTTGTATCCACCACCCAGTTGCCTTCAGTAACTACTGTTCTGAATTTGATGGTTAGATTTGATGAACATCATTCCCAGGCATGCTTTTTACTGTTGTTTTATATGTATGAATCCTTGACAGTATGTATGTCATTCAACAGACAGTATGTTATTTTGTGTATTTAAAGGTATAGTGATACTAGAGTATCCTTTTACAACTTGCTGTATTCATTCAACATCATGGTTTTGTGATTTCAGTATTACACACTTTAGGGTTACCTTGTCAAGGCCTGTGAAAAATCCTTAGGAGGTTTTATTAGAATATCATTGATTTCATTTGGGGAAGGATTGACATAGTTCTGCTCTTGAGCACAATATTTTTCTAAATTTATTTAGGTTTTTAAGTTTTCTCCATGAAAGTTCTTGCACATCTTTCCTTAGGTTTATCAATATTTCTAGATAACCAGGTTTTATTGTATCCTTTTTTTTTCATTTATTTTTATTAGTTGGAGGCCAGTCACTCTACAATATTGTAGTGGGTCCTGTCATACATTGACATGAACCAGCCATGGATTTACATGGATTCCCCATCCCAATCCCCCCTCCCAACCTCCCTCTCTACCGGATCCCTCTGGGTCTTCCCAGTGCACCAGGCCCGAGCACTTGTCTCATGCATCCAACCTGGGCTGGTGATCTGTTTCACTATAGATAATATACATGTTTCGATGCTGTTCTCTCGAAACATCCCACCCTCGCCTTCTCCCACAGAATCCAAAAGTCTGTTCTGTACATCTGTGTTTCTTTTTCTGTTTTGCATATAGGGTTATCATTACCATCTTTATAAATTCCATATATATGTGTTAGTATGCTGTAATGTTCTTTATCTTTCTGGCTTACCTCACTCTGTATAATGGGCTCCAGTTTCATCCATCTCATTAGAACTGATTCAAATGAATTCTTTTTAATGGCTGAGTAATATTCCATGGTATATATGTACCACAGCTTCCTTATCCATTCGTCTGCTGATGGGCATCTAGGTTGCTTCCATGTCCTGGCTATGATAAACAGTGCTGCGATGAACATTGGGGTGCATGTGTCTCTTTCAGATCTGATTTCCTCGGTGTGTATGCCCAGAAGTGGGATTGCTGGGTCATATGGCAGTTCTATTTCCAGTTTTTTAAGGAATCTCCACACTGTTCTCCATAGCGGCTGTACTAGTTTGCTTTCCCACCAACAGTGTAAGAGGGTTCCCTTTTCTCCACACCCTCTCCAGCATTTATTGCTTGTAGACTTTTGGATAGCAGCCATCCTGACTGGCGTGTAATGGTACCTCATTGTGGTTTTGATTTGCATTTCTCTGATAACGAGTGATGTTGAGCATCTTTTCATGTGTTTGTTAGCCATCTGTATGTCTTCTTTGGAGAATATTGTATCCTTTTAAAAGTTACATTTTGTTACAGTTGTTCATGGCTAGAACTGTACTTGATTTTTTCCAACAAGCTTGATGAATTCTCCTTGCTCTAATATAGACATTCTTTTACTGCTTGTTATACCCACTGTGATGTAAATTTTAATGTATAGTATATACAACAGGGTCATTCAGGTACATGGCTTTTTGATTCCCATAGTAACTTTAAGAGGCACAAAGGGAAGATTCTAATCCCACTTTACAAACGGCGAAACTGAGGTCCCTATAAATTAAGTGACCTGTGTGTCAGACAGCTAAGAACTGTATTGAGCAAACACTGTGGATCGGTTTTCTCCAGCCCTCTCCCTCCATCCTGACAGTCCATCCTGTGCAGTGGCACTTGCCTCCTGACTGGCGCCCCCTGCAGGGGGACTCATGCACTGCAGAGAGTGTTCTTTCAGGATGCAGGCTCTAGCCATGTAACCTTCCTGCTTCCCATTCCCTTACACACAGCTTTGTGTTCTGGTCCCCGCCTCCCTTGCCAGCTTCTTTTCCCACCTTGCTTCTTTGATGTACTTCCCTGGTGACGCAGGTGGTAAAGAACCTGCCTGTCAGTTTCGGAGATGCAAGAGATGCAGGTTTGATCCCTGTGTTGGGAAGACCCCGCAGAGAAGGAAATGGCAACTGGCTGTAGTATTCTTCTTGCCTAGAGAATCCCATGCACAGAGGATCCTAGTGGGCTACTGTCCATGGGGTCACAACAAGCTGAGCCTGACTGAGCACACGCACGCTTCGTGTGGTTGAGTCACATGGGGACACTTGTATGCACTCCTCCTATGCACCTCATTTCTTCTGCTGCTTTGCCTAGTTTGCTCTTACATAAGACACACTTTTATTTACCATTTTGTTGGTCTTCCTTGCAAGAGTAAATCAAGCTCCAAGATGGCAGGAACCATGTGTATAATTAACATCTTTACTTTTAATAGTGAGCTCAGTTCAATACATTTCTGATGTTAAAGGCAAACACTGCTTTTAATTACTCAGTTTGGCCATTTTTTCTTTCTTGAGAGATGAGTTTTTGGTTTGTTTGTACCCTCTGACCATTATCTTCCCTGTTGTTTCATTTCATTGCCATTACTATTGGACATTAGATGAATATTAAAACATTAAAAGTTAATACGGAAATGATTTTGTTACTCTTAATAATTTAAAGACCCCGTTGCTGGGAAAGATTGAGGGCAGGAGGAGAAGGGGACTACAGAGGATGAGATGGTTGGATGGCATCACCAACTCAATGGACATGGGTTTGGGTGGACTCCGGGAGTTGGTGATGGACAGGGAGGCCTGGTGTGCTGCGGTTCATGGGGTTGCAAAGAGTCGGACATGACTGAGCAATTGAACTGAACTGAATAATTTACATGTAATTTTAATATATGTGCTACCGAAACGAGCACTAATTACATGTAAAAGGCTTGACAGGTAGGAGTTGGAAAACCAGCTAAAATAAGGCATTTTGAGACTCCATGGATATCACTCCATCCTCCCCTTTAGCCAAGAATCTGGGGAGCCATGTGTAGGCCAGTTCTCAAAAACTACGAGGCCAAGATTTGGTGAATTTGAACATGTCAGGATTTTCCTTGTTTTTCATACTGTGAAGAGGATTGAGAACAAATGGACTTTTTCAGAGACCACCATGAAGCACTGCCTGCACTTTGGGGGGGGAAAGCTCCACTGAATAAAGTGCCTGGGGGGCCTCAGCCCCGCACACGCCGAGTTACACAGGCCTGCGGCAGGGCACACTCCTGGCTGTTTGTGTGAACTGGGAAACACGGGGGAGTTCTAAGCGGCAGGGCACACTCCTGGCTGTTTGTGTGAACTGGGAAACACGGGGGAGTTCTAAGCGGCAGGGCACACTCCTGGCTGTTTGTGTGAACTGGGAAACACGGGGGAGTTCTAAGCGGCAGGGCACACTCCTGGCTGTTTGTGTGAACTGGGAAACACGGGGGAGTTCTAAGCGGCAGGGCACACTCCTGGCTGTTTGTGTGAACTGGGAAACAAGGGGGAGTTCTAAGCGGCAGGGCACACTCCTGGCTGTTTGTGTGAACTGGGAAACAAGGGGGAGTTCTAAGCTGCAGAGGCACCGCTCAGCACTGCATTCCTTTGAACTTTGTTTTTACGTTTGAACTGGTTTACCTCAGATACAGTATTTCAAAGAGCAATTTAGCAGTTGAAGCATAAGTTAGTCAGGTCTCCCAAATTTGTCGTTTTCTGCCAAGGCCCCTGTTGAGACCTCCAGAGGAAAATCCAGGAGAAACTGCAAGTGTCTGGAAGGTTTAGAGCAGTGGTTTTTCAAAGTGTGTGGTCCCCAGACTAGCAGCGTTGGCATCACCTGGGAACTTGGTTGAAATGCATATTTTTAGATCCTTGCACAGACCTACTGAATCAGACTCTGGGGATGGGGCCAGGAGTCTGTGTTTGGACAGGCTCTCCAGGTGATCCTGATTCAGGC